ACACGTTATCTGTGGCTTACTTTTGTCAGAGCCTTAAGCAATGCTCCGCTTTCTTCTGTGGAAGAAAAGCCTGTGTTGAAAAATGGCTGTTTAAATCTCCATATACTGCCAGAGTCCAAGCCACTGCATTCTTTCTAGGTTCTGCCACAAGGGGAGCAGAGAAAATTTCTAGATAGATATATGGCCAGAAAGCTATGCAGTGGTACTTTTACAGACAGAAAAGAGAGTTCCTCTGTAGGGTGGCTTTCTTCTTGGGATCTGGAAAGAGAGGGCTGGGGTTATGGTAAAACTTTGGGTAGCAGAAGATTGTGAGAAGGATTGGTTTGATAGGAATACCTGAGCAAATACTTCTCATCCCATCAGAAGTGGGGGAGGATTTCTGTATTCTGCTGAGCTCTTCCACAGAGATGGTGTTTATAGGCTCTTCACCTAAAGAGTAGTTAAGAAATAAGCCCTTTTTCAGCTGTTGCCTGCTCTTGTTTTTCACATCTGTATGAAGGACAGGAAGCAAGTATCTTACCTTGTGGGAGATTTTAGTTGTGTCAAAGCACACAAAGGACTCTAATCTGAGAAAATACTGTATCTGTCTCAGTTGTTTCTACTCGCAGAAAAAAATTACCTGTCGGCCTTTTTGCGCTTTTTTGTCTTAAATTTTCTTATGTAGATAAGGGCTGTGTGGTTTACCAAGAACCTGGATAATTATCTCTTTAGTGCTCTATGGTACCAGTAGCAGTGATTTTACTCTAAAGTACAGATGTACACTGAGGTCACAGCTCCATTCATCTACAAAACACCTGTATTTGTTATAATAAACTTATCTATTCATACTTACCAGACCTGTGTTTTACAAGGCACTGTTATTGCTCATGCTGAGAGATCTTTGCTATTTACAAGAAGACAAACGATTTTGGGTGCTGAGAACCTCTAACTGCAGGTGACTGAGGTGGAATAGTGTCTGCTGAAAATTAGGCCAAGGAGACACAAATTACCCTAAGACCAAGGTCAGAATGCAGGTGTTCCCTAAGACTCTGCTCCACCAGCCAAAAACCTTGCCTGTCTTACTTCTCCTCAAGCACTTGAGTGAATGCTAGTGGAAGGATGTGGCCTTTGTGTTGCAGCATCTTTCTGGAGAGAGATTAAACCACTTTGGGACTCAAAAACAGTTATGTAGGTGGGACTCCTGTGTGCAGAGTTGGACTCTGTTTTGTTTTCCATGTTCTGTGAGCACCTGTAGCAAAATAGATTCCTTGGGATAACCCCTCCATTGTGTGGTCATCTTCCCCATGTCTGCAGTCAATAGTCTGTATCTTTCCTTAGACAGCAGAACAAGCAATGGGTTTGCTTTGAAGACTGCTTTTTATGGAAAGATGGAAATGCAGTTACGGAATATTGGAAATGAATAAAATTTTAAGTAAGCTTGGCAGAAAATAACTCTTTCTCAGGTACATGGTACACCTTCAGTTGATCTTCCCCATTTTTCATATACCTTTATGTGAAACTCTATGCTTTGATTGTCCATAAAGGAAGGAAGTTCAGTGCCATGATCTAAGTGTGAACCCAGAGAAAAATCTTGTCCCTGTGACCTGACACACTGTGTAATTTTAATCAGTGATACAGCAGTTCCTTGGTGTGCCGGCAGTTCAAGATATTGGACATGCACATACAGTCCTTTCATTCCACTGAATTATGAATGAAAAGATGTACCTACTAAATCATAAATCCCATTGCAGACAGTTTTTGAAAGAGAGACTTTATTCTTGGTGAAGTTGCAGATTAGCAAAGCAACTAATTATGTCTTATCCTGTGTCATAGGTTAACTTCTGATCAATGAAATGAGCATTGCCTTAGGGAAATGCAGTACTTGGGATCATCACTGATCTGTGAAAGAGGGAAATTGACTTTGGAAAAGTTTTCTAGAGATGGGATCAGTCCAGTTTTGATTGATAGCAAGGCTCATTCTGCTTCAACTGGCATTGTGCACACTGGTCCTTACTTGTAAAGCAAAGCCAAAGCTTAAGTTCAATTTAGAGAAAATGCATACCAATTCAATAAATAGATGTGCATGTGCCTAATTGTGGTTTTTTTTAATGGACCAGGGTCTTAATTCTTCTGTGATTTGCCATCAGGCAATGAGAGATAGTGCATCAAAGACTGATTATACTTAAGCTTGCATGTTACTCTGTTAATAAGCTGATTTTGTTGTTGACTTTTGCCAGCTAATAAATACGGCTTTTGTAAGTAAGTTCATTGTCATGTAATTGGAATCAATATTGCCAGGACTTGTGTTGTTTTTCCATAGCTCATTGAATCAAGAACAAGAGATCAGCCGAGCTTTTGCTGTAGCTGGATGGCAGTATCAGCAAATGGAAGTTTGCTCTTCCAGTCCTTTCTGGTGCTGCTATCAAGTGGTGGGGAGTACAAGCAGCAGGTTGGCATCATCCTTGATTCCAGCCTTGATTCCAGGCTCCTACATATAGGTACATGTGTGCATGTGTCTCACAGGCACACAGAATAAAGCAATTGTTTGGTTTTATGGGTACAGAGTGACAAAGTTACCAGTGTCAGATCTCAAAAGGTTGTAAGGATTGTGGTATTGGTTACTTTCACAGATCTACCCAGCAAATGCAGTGCTAGCCTGGGGTGAGCTGGCTCAGAAAGTTTACTGACTGCCAGGAGTTGGAGCTGGGATGAGAGGCTCCTCCATCCTTTGCATCATTGTTTTCAAACATTTGAAAATTCAGTCACCTGAAATTTCTTTGATGGCCTGTTTGTTTGTCAGTCAGTGGTCTCAGGAGCTTCATAAATATTCAGCAGTGTATCCTTTCTGCCTTCCAGCTGGTGCTTTAGCCTTCTTTTTCAGGAATAAAAGCTAAGTCATTGAGACTTTAAAAATGATGCTGACTTGTAACCAGGATAACTTAAAAAATAGATTGAGGTACTGTATTCCTCTACAGATGCTCCTTTAATTTTGATGGTTTGAATGACCATAATTAAATATTTTAAAATAGCCATTTCCCATCTCTTTTGGCTCTGAAGGGAACAGGTGCAAAATAAGCAAGGCAGGGGTGGGCATGGGGGAGGTGTGTGTGCAGTCTCTGTGACGTCTCTGTTTAAGTTTTATTGCAGGTGAAGCTCTTGGGGCTCTGGGAAATGGTGCCTCCACTCTCCATCCTGTGTGGTCAGATGTAGGTGTCTGGACTGACAGAGCCCCTATGTGGAGGCAGAGATTAAAGACTGCTCACATTCCGAAAATCCTTTTTATTTTTGTCCTAATGGACTCAAGAAGGGCTTCTAGATTTATGGGCTCTGTTTCTTCTCTTCTCTTCTGGCCCAACAAAATCCTTGCTGTGCAGCATCAGCCAAGGGGGCAAGTACCCATGACCATGGATGAAGTGCTCCAACCAAAGCATGCTGAAGAGCAAAGGGGTACCATGAGCACTGGTGTAACCAAAGACAGCAGCTTCCAGCCCCTTTTGTAAGGAAACTGAATCTGTCCTTCAACATATGTCTTGAAAGCTCCTGTTGGGTTGAACCACTGTGGAAGCATGGAGGAATACTTAATTTCTTGTTCCCAAGGGGATTGAAGTTAATGCTGACTTGCTAAGTCTTGTTAGTAGTTAGGTGATGTTTGAGCAGTTGTAAGGGTTTTAGGAAGCTTTAAAGAAGAAAAATTGCAGATGGGTCACTTTCAGGTTCAGTGACAGCAAAGTGGGTGTTTTCTCTTTTGGCATGAGCAATTTTCTTGGCCTTAGTCTCAAACTGGATGCCTGAGTCTGTTAATGAACCTTGCCATGATGATCATGTCAGATCTTCCAGCTTGCCTGAATAAACCCTACTTATTTGTCATCAGAAGAGCATGTAACCGTTTTCACTTGCAAAACAACTGATTATGTATCCATAGAGCATACTCCTCTGGCCCCAGTTAGAGGCTGAAGCTTATGTGACACTGTATTTTCTGAGTGAAGCCTTGTTAATTGAGCATGTAAATGTGTAATTGTCTGTACAGTTATTCAATTGACATGGTTTTAGTTTGCATACAAATATGGGAGCACAGCCATGCAGTTGAGCAAACCGTCCAAGATCAGATGCTTAAATAAATATGTGCATTCTGCACACAGATGTGAACACCCTTAAGATCAATCCAGTTGTGGTCACCTTCTCTTTTCTTTTTGTGTGTGGATATGCTAATCTGTTTATTTTCATCCAAGTCTGTAACATACCATAGATTCTGTGCTAACTTGGTCATTTTCCATATTAAGTAGACTTCATTGATGTGGAAATAGGAGTTACCATAGGAATTGTTCAGAGGTTGCCCTTAATGTATGTGCTTGCTTTTTTGAAGTGGTACCTTGTGCTCACAATGATTGTTGCTGTAATACCTTTAAAAATGTTCCGTGCATACGAAATATTAATTTGAAGTGTGGGGGTTTTTTAGAGGAAAGGCTGCTTTAATGTTGGGAGTTGTTGGCAGTTGCAGTCCAGTGCAACTTCTGAGAAGGAAAAGAGGGCATAAAAGTTGCAAATAATGGTACAATTGGAATTTTCTCTGCACCCAGTGGTTTCTCTGCTTGAAAGCTGCTGATTTCAAAGAAAGGGTGATCTGGCAGTTTTGTTCTGGCAGTTCTTGCCTGTTCCAGTGAATAAAACTCCAAACATCTGTTGGGGGTCTGCAGTGTTCATTTACTGTGAAAGAAAACACAGTGATACTGCTTTTCTTTGTACCTTAGCCTTTTTTATATAGAATTGAACACCATATTTGGTATTTTGAGTTATTTTGGAGTTAAGTATATAGGAAGGTAGTTTCAATAACATGGAAAAAGTTCCTGAATAGGGATAGAGCTGTGCCATGTATATGATTGATAGCTTTATCCAACCAAGGGTAGACTTTTCTTAAAATAATGCTTTGGTTGGGGGTGTGAATGGTGTCAGGGTTGGGGATGCCATTTTAATCTGGGCAACAACCACTCCTCTAACACCCCTTTCTCTTTATTTCTCTGCAGATGTCGCTCCTATGAGGATTGCTGTGGCTCAAGATGCTGTGTAAGAGCTCTCTCTATCCAGCGACTATGGTATTTTTGGTAGGTCCAGGGAATCTGGGAATTTTGTGTTTGTCCTCATCTTGTTGGTTGGACTTAAATCAGGATATTGTCAACCCTGGTATTTTAAAGCACAGTAGGTGCAAATATGTAGGAAGGTATGTGTGTACATAAAAATGCATAGATTTTGGTTTTCTCTTATAAAATTCTCCTGATGCAGTAAGAAAACTAAAAAAGGAGGTTAATCATGTCAGGCTGACCTTTTCTGCTTCTGCATCCTCCTGCTTTGTACAAGCAGTGGTTCCACTTTTATCCAGAATTGCTGAATTCTTTATGGCTGTCCCAAGCAGTGACATTCTTCATTTTAATTTGGGCACTCAGTTTTAAAAGTAGATCATATAAGCAGGATTGTGCTTTTAGGCAAGGTTTAATATATTCTTGCTAGCTGAACTGAGGCTACAATTAAAAAGGAAGAGAAGTACATTTATGACTATGAGGATTTCACTGGAGATGACAGCAAAGGAAAAGAGGGCAGAAAGACTGAGTTTGTGAAACCAGAAGCTCAGTAATCTGGATAAAGCTTAAACTAATCACTGTTATATGCATAATGAAAAAATAAGGTAAATTCCTTTTGGAGTGGAATTTATGAAAGCACCTGAATAAAACCTTCTCATTACAGTCGAGAGAAAGCAAAGACTCTCCTAGAAAACCTGATTTCAGTCATTTTAATGTGGAATTTGAAGACTGATTAAAAAAAAGCCTTAGAAACTGCAACAAATAAACAGTGAAAAAACAGAAGCCTGATATATACTATAATACAGAGATTTCCCGAAGCTGACTGTGGGATTTCAGTGTACAATCCCTACTGGTATAAGTGAAGAGCTCTCTATCTCAATCCCTAGGGTGACGTCATAAATCTCTGTTTTTCTGTTCAGAAAAAAATCCTTTGCAGGAACACTGCCAAAGGGAAATGTATTTATATTGGCTCAGGGAAAAAGAATCTCCTTCTGCTCTCATTTCTAATGTAGAAACAAGAACAGAGTTTTGAAATAGAGTTACGAAATAACTCTTGCTGCCAGGCTGTGCCACATTCTTCCTCTCAGCCACCTGGGAATTCTCCAGAGGAGATAAGCATGGTGTGTAGGCTTGCCTCTGGCCAACTTCCTTCCCTTCCAAAAAAGCACAGTTGCCATTGTCAGTAAAAAGCCATGAAACAAGATTGCAATTACAGGCAGAAGAACCATTCCTATTCACCAGAGCTTGCATGAGTCACTGGAGTGTCTGATAACTGATCAAGGAAAGCACAGTGAAAGCTGCTGTCTGAAGAACAAAACCTTATGTGCCCTTGCTGCATGTTCCTGTTTCCACCACACTAGGGCAAGGAAATGATGAGGACAGTTTAGTGAGGTTGGAAAAGATGCTGAGAGGAGTAGAATGGTAGCTAAATTATGTCTTATTTATGGAGAATGTAATATCCCATGTAGGAAGCACAAAAGTTTGTTGCCATCAGTACTGAATGCTTTAGTCTTCTGGCTTGAGCTTAAATGCCAGCTACCATATTTCCGGTGGGAGATGAAATTAAAATGTTGAGTTAATTTAAGAATATCTAAGAATTTTCTTTTAATGGCAAATGCAGAATAGTATTCCTCTCTGTACTCCATAAACATCCTGAGCAGCCTAGATGCTGTAAGCCTGGAGCCTGCATCCAAGATATGCAGTTTGAAACTGTACTGACCTAAAATTTCAGTTTAGCATCCCAGTGGCCAAGGTCAGGTGTGAACCTTTTGAAAAGTTCAAGTGTTTTTACTTTTGAGTTACATGCCAGAGAACATTGAGAGATGTCCATAATATATCCATAAGTGCTCCATGGGTGCTATCCCAAATGACAGACCTGCTCTCAAGAGGCAACCTGTTTAAGAAACTGTTAAAAGTTGCAGGCTGATGTATTCTCAGTGAGCAGCCTGGATTTCAATGCTTCCTGGATGTGCAGGTTTTGACTTCTCTCTTTGTTTTGCCTAGGTTCCTTTTGATGATGGGAGTTTTGTTCTGTTGTGGAGCCGGTTTCTTTATCCGGAGGCGGATGTACCCTCCTCCACTAGTAGAAGAACCTACTTTTAATGTGTCTTACACCAGACAACCAGTCAACACTGCATCAGGTCAGAGACTGCTCATACAAGTTTCACTAGTTTCTTACTTCGGCCAAGGCACTAAAAAAGGATGGGTTTTGAGCTTTTGTTTCATTGTTTTTTGGAAACTGATTTATACAAGGAATTGCACTGTACTAAAACATGCAGCCCCCTCCTGCAGTGAGTGATGTCTTCAGCCTTTCCAACAGTATAATTCAGCTGCAGTGTACGGAAGTGGTTTTGAAACACGTGGGATGACAGAACTTTCAGGTCTGTTTTGGTTCCTAATACCTTTACAGGTGTGTGTCCATGCATGGAAGAAAGCTAGCAAGCTCTCGCTTTGCAGTGTGGACAAAATGATAGGTATCCAAACTCAACAGTCACTGGAAGAAAGAGTTTTAAATACAATTGATAACATCTGGCAGAGATGAAGGAAAGCCCAGCATTTTCTTCCACAATCTGACCATCTTACAAGTATTTTTGATTTGCCTTCAATGTTTCATGCTGCAGTCTTTCTATGGCAAAATGGTCTTTTCCCCCTTGTTAGTCTGATTGCTCTGTCTTTGGTAAGTCATAACTGTGAGCATCAAGAGGACCTACCTAGTGAAGGCTCCTCTGATAAAACTGCTTTCTGAGTTTGTAATTTCTTCCCTTCTGGTAGCCAGTTGCAGTTGGGAACTCTCCAAGGCCTAAATGGTTAAAAAGATGTTACAGACACCAACTGACATTTTACTCACCTTCCTTGTTTAAGTCCTAAGGGCTTTTTTAGAGCTCCCCTTCTGCATCTGCATCTATTTTTCTCCTTGACTGAGCAGGCTGTTTTTCAGCTGAGGGGGAGCCAATCCAACTAGACTAATATTTTTAAGCCTGAAAAATAGCCTTGAGTTTATATGAATAGGGAGTGTCTTTGGCTGGATTGATAAAAACCAGATTTAAATTCAGAACAGTTTTACTCTTTCATGGTGCTTCATGGAACATAAATTGTGGGCAAATATAAAATAAGCACAACCTTTTGATGACCTGATTATGGCACCTGCTTCCAGACTGTTATTACTGTTACTTAAAAGCTTTGGGCTCTGAGCTAACTCCACCATTTATTTTATTTTTTAGTTTTAATTTTTCTACTGTTCTAGAAAACAGCAAAAGCAATGAGAATTAGTAGTCAAGCAAGTTCCCATTTTCCACTAGTTACTCTTTTAGGTTTGGTAACAGTAGCCAATTCACTGTTGAGGTGGAGCCCTAAAAATGTGACTCATTGCCTGTCTCGCTCCTTACCTGCAGAGATAGCAGCAGCACCCTTCTGCCATTCCAGCAGCATCTGCTGGGAGTGCTTTTCTAAGACCCTGACTGGGAGAAGAGAAGCTTCCTTTAGTAGCTGTGTCATTATAGGAAACACAGACTGGAACCAAAAGGAGAAAACCTGTTGCTCAGCCATTATTTTTTTCCCAGTCCATCTTTATTTAAACAGACACAGAGAAAGAGAAAATAACTAACTTCCATCTTGAGATAGTCTGTGACTTCAGTTGCATTAAGTCATCTTCCACCACCCACTGTGATATCTGAGGAGGGTTACACACCAGCTTTGTTCTTACTGCAGCAATCTCTGTTACTCCTTATGTGTCATAGACAAGGAATTTTGTGTTTGGCCATAAATTTGCTTTCCCTGTCCCTGCAGGCTCCGATGTTATTTCCTAAATTGAATCTATGCAAAGCAATCTTGTCCCATTGTGTTAGCCAGCAGTAAGTGACTACAGCTTGGCTCTGCTTCATGCGGGTTCTAAACTGTATCGTGCCTAGGAGGGAAATTATCCATCTGAGCTTCACTCTGGCTTATCCACAGATCCAAGACACCACAAAATAATCTCTAAAGTCTTTTTGTAAGACTTGACACCTGAGTCAGGGCCACAGTAGAGACTCCTTTGTCCGTCTGGGATCCCACACCTCTTCTCTGTGCAGACAGAAACGCTTTTCTGTCAGAGCAACTGAACGGGGCTCACAGTTTTCCCTTTCAAATGGTAGTTGCTTGGGGCAGTAGTGCCCTTTGTTTCACTAAGTGATTTCCATTGGATGCAAAACTGAAACTTTTTGGTAGTACCTGAAGAGGTGAATGCAGTCCTGCCAGCCTGTTTTTTTTCTGGAAGGGAGAAAGTTACTCCTTGTCTTTGCTCTGATGAACACTATGAGAAGCCTTCTCTGAGTATGCAGAGCACAGGCCCTGGGAGAGCACAACCTGATGCCTCTGCTGTTGCTGATACCTTTCTTCTCCTTTTCTTTCTTTCAGGGTCACAACAACCTGGAGTGCCGTATTACACAGATCCAGGTGGACCTGTGATGAATCCCATGGCTATGGCTTTCCATGTCCAGCCCAATTCCCCACAAGGAAACCCGGTTTACCCACCCCCACCTTCCTATTGCAACACACCACCTCCCCCCTATGAGCAGGTGGTGAAATCCTCCACGTGAGGACTCTGGCTCTCTGACCTGACTGTGTGAGAAGAAGGTGCAATTGCAAATTGACCAAGATGGAAGGCACCTGCCCTTTTGAACACTTGCTAGTTCTCCAAGTACTCTCTCCTTCCCTTCCCTGCACCTTTCCTCATTAAAGTTACTTGCAAAGGGGTTAATTTTAAATTTTTTTCTTTTTTCCTTTTTTTAGTAGAAGTGGATTTTTTCTTTGTCTTCAAAATGAGAGAAGTTGTCTTTGTAATGCTTTTAATGGAAACCTATATTTAAAACCTCTATGTCTTTCTCTTTGTTGTTCATTTCAATCAAGGTTTTAATTGCATCATGGCAGGTTACTGATAGCAGTTCTTGCAACCTCAGAGTGATGTGCAGCTTCCTAAAACCCCACAGCAGAAATGCCCTCAGCTGTGGGAAACAGCAAAGAGGATAAAGGTAGAAGCAACAGGGCAATGACTTTACCAGAAATTGTGACTACCATCTCTTTCTGATGTATAACAGAAAGATGCTCTGATAAAAGTCACTGTGACTAGAGTACCAGTATTGGTTGAGTCGTGGCAGGGGCTCTGCCAAGTGCCCTAGTAAAGAGCGAGTTGTTACTTTAAATGATGCATCCAAAATTAAGGACTGGGACTTGAGTGTTTCTTGTTCATAATCTGAACTTTGCCTGTGTGATTGACTCTTGGCTCCCCTTGTTTTACCAGTGCTGAGATTGTATGGAACAGAGAATGATCTGGATGTTGGCATGAAAGGAAGGTGTTACAACTCAGAGCTACTTGTGCCTCTTGACAGAACAGTTAGAAACACTAAAATACGTAAGTTTTCTTCCCTAAATTGGAAAATATTTACAGTAAGAAGGGATGGGAGCATAGGTACACATTTACTCTCTTTGGCATTGATGGGAGTTTAGTCCCTGAGAAAGAGTATCTTTCATTATAGTCTTATTGCTGCCACAAAGAGTACCAAGTAAAGTTGTCATCTTAGGTGACAGATCTGTAAACCTGCTCTCCTCTCTAGGTCTGAAAAATAGTAACTTTTTGAGACAGGCTTTTAATAGCAGTCTTTGACCTGATGCACAGATGGTTTGGCTTTCAATATCTCTTAGCTCTTCAGGCATTTTGCTATGAGTGCTCATGGCCAACCCTCTCAATGACCACAAATGAACATCTTCAAATAAACACAGAGCCCCTTTGCCTGTCAGGGCTCTCGCACCCATCCATGTCAAGCAAAAATTTGAAGTTGCTCTGAAACATGACTTTGTACTAATGGGACCTTCTGCCTTTGTGCATATTCAGTCGTGTCACTGAGCAATGACAAAAAGAAGATGCCATTGCCTCCTACTGCTGAAAATTAACATAGCTGAGGGTTAGGAGGCCCATGTGATCTTTTGGGTACTAGGTGAATGCTCCTGTGTGATGCCAGCCAGGGCACAGCAGTCTCGCTGAGGTGGTTTGGAGTAATCTGAAGACCTGTGTTGCACAGGAAGCCAAAGCTTTATTGCGCTGTTGTTCTGTGCCAGTGGCTTCTGAGAACTTGTTTCTAGGTGTCAGGCTGGATTTGCAAAACATCTCTCTTGCTGTGAATATGAGTGTCTAACAGAAAAACTTGTAAGGGCCATTGTTTCTGCTGGTGGAGTCATCAGTAGCCATCTGGAGCAAAGTTCTGGAACACTGGAGGAGTTCATTCCTCCCTACCTGACTTGGGTGAAATTGTAACCAAGGCTTTCCCTTACTGTGCATCATAATAAGGGACAAAGCAAAGTACTTTTGTGTGTGCAGTCTTAGGCTTGAGGGATACTTCAGTGAACAAAAAAGTACATTTTATAGGTGAATATGAGGTCCATCTGCACATCACAACTGTATGTATTTTCTAAATTAGCTTGCACTTGAAATGTAAAAACTGTGTATGTCACGGAGTCTGGTAGTGTTTACAAAACATAATTTTTAAAATGTAATTCCAACCTTTTCCTGTCAATAGAAATGGCAACAGACCTCATGTTAATAGATAGATGTTGTTAAGTCCTTTTGTATTATGAAATGTATCTATGACAGCTGGCATTGTCCTGGACACATTGAATAGAAGCCTTTGTACAGTGAAATTCAACTTCAGGTGAAGTTTTCCTCAAGTCTGGCTTGTTTATTTCCGAGTGTTGATGGATGACACTACCTCGTACAACACAGGGAATTTTCTGCTAGCAAACTTGCTTGGTCTTATCTTGGAAACATAACACCTATGTGGGCATCCATATGCATTAATTGCAAATTGTTTACATGCCTTTCCTCTAGTTGCCTCGCCCATTCCAACAGGATTTTACTTAGCAGTGGTGATGCCCTAGGAGCTGCCAGCTGCTGCAGCTTTGCTAATGTGAATTTCCCCATGGAGGTTTGGTGCTTTATCTGCTGGGATTCTCTGGGTGTAGCTACTGCATCCTCTCTCAAACACAAGAGAGATTTTGGTGCCTTGCTGATGAGGCAGGATGGTGTTTTGACTGCAAAATAAGGTTGGTTGTCATGGCTGGGAGCCTTGGGGATGTGTGGAGCACTCCCCTGCCCCGTCCCAGAGGCACTGGACCAGTGTGCAGCTGACTCCCAGTCAGCCTTTGAGATCTTCCCATCTACCTTAGGAAGGTGATTTTTGTGTCTTGTGCCTGTCTGTCTCCTGGTTCTTGCAGTGAGGTTTCAGCCAGGGGGGCTAAACCCCTTGACAGAGCTTGGCCAGAATGGAGATGCTTCAGTGGAGCCACTGAACCTGGTTGAGGAGCCAGGAACATGAACAATGTAACTCCCTGAGCTCCTTTCTTCAGCTGTGCATCCCCAAAATGTGTCTGGTGTATCTCTGAGGAGGCAGAGCAGGACACCTTTGAGGTCTCTGCCCCTGTGACTTGGCAGCAGGAACAATGAGAAGGGGATCAGAAATCCTTCTGCCCTTCTGCTGAAATCTCCAACTATGCTGCTTTATAAGAAGAGGCACTACCAGGTACTCTTGGTTCACCTTGCCTGTAACTCTGGTGGGGCCTGTGTATTTCATCACTTTGGGAAGTGATAATGTAGTGACAACTTTTTATGGTTTGTGGGTGTTTTTTGTTTTTTTCCCTTTGGAGCCTCTGTGACAGCTTTTCATTGATGTAACAACAGACAGCTGAGACTATATTTTCAAAAAAGGTATTCAGACCATGTGAAGAAGCAAAGGAGGTAGTCTTTCTTCCCTGCTTCAAAAAACCCATCTCCAAAACCTCAGAAAAGTTAGCTTCGTATACATACATCAAAACATCACTCCTTGGCACACAGGTTAACCAAGAAGCCATAACACATTTTCAGATAGTGAAGCCTAGCTTTTTTTTCTGATCTAATGTTGCTAATTGAGTAGGTGAGCCAGGATGCCTTTATAGGCCCTGTGGCTGTGGGAGCCCTCCCCTCTGATCCCCTGTCACCAGGAGCTGAGCTGCCTTACAGTTTGTACTGTTTTGCAGGGAAATGACTACAGAGACGCCATACAGAGGTGTCTCATCCAGCATGAGACAGCTTTTACAAAGGAACTGCTATATAATAAGGCAATTAAAGATGAGAGGTGCAACTCGCAGCCACTGTTCCAAGCTGCCATGTGCTGCAAGGTGAGGAGACAGCAGAGAGGGCAGAGGGAACAGTGACAAGTTAAGCAGCCCTGTCTTCTTGCTCAAATCTGTTATTTTAGCTTTATGTGGTGAGAGAAGTCACAAACATAGATGTCTCTTTACCTGTCCCACTCTGCTTCTCTCCTGTTGCCTAACCCTATCTTACCTAATCGCTACAAGCTGGATTTACCACAATCCACTTGTAGATGTCAAGGACAAGCAGTGGTTTAAAGTCAGGTCCCTGTGCACAAATCACACTGGCCCTGACTGTGAATCGACATGAAACCAGTGAAAACACATGGGAAAAAAGTGAAGTTTCACTAGGAAAGGTTGCTGCACCAAAGAGCCTCCTGGGCAGGGCTCAGGCAGCACAGTGGTGCCTAGCTATGAGGTGAAACGTAGCACATGTACTTCTTCCCATGCATCTCTCATGTGCTATTTAGATGTTAGAGATCTGCTATGCTAGAAAAGCCCCAATGCAGTTATCCACCTACACCTGAATTTGTATAGATTATCTACAGACCAGAACTGATCCTCTCCATCCAAAAAAGTAGCAGTTTCTCTTGGTGGCCAAGATGGCCATGAAAAGCACAAGGGGCTTTGTGAAACAGAAATACTACCCCTTGCCTGCAGCATACTTGATGTTTCCTTCTGTTAAAGCCTAGCTAGAGGAACATTTCAAGCTTCCTCAAAGCTGGAAACAGCTGTTACTCAGCTGGACAGAGATTTCATATATGTGTTTTAAAAACCAGTTCATCCCTAGTCTGGCTTTAGCTGCAAACTCTTCAACAGCATCTGTGTGGCCATAAAGGAAAGCAGAGCTTTGCACTAAGCAACATACACTAAAAATCACCTGGAAGCAGCAGCAGGGAAGGCAGCTGCAGTACTAACAAAATGTGAAGGTTACAAAAAAAGCAATCTGCCTTCTTTCTGGCATGTTTTTCATCATGCAGGACTAGGAGAGAGGGAAGCAGCTCAGCAGTCAGATCAGTGGGACAGCTATCACAGTGCTGGAGGGAAGGAAGCAGAACCACAGTGAAGAAAAAACAGACTCACACAAATTACCACCACAGAGCTTGATCTTTACTAATAAAGCCAAAGAACAAAACATCAGCATTTTTTTCCTCTTTTTCTGCCCAAATAGCATTTCCATTTTTAACACTACTGCTTTTTGCAACAGGTAGACTATTACACACAGACAAAGCAAACCAGGGAATATTAAGACATTTTCTACATTTGTAGTTTGATGTCATTTCTGAAGACAATGCCTCGGTGAAATCACTTTCCTTAAGGGGCCACCTAGATATCATAACGCTGTGACGGACAGAGAGGAGGAGCCACGGGGAAAGTCATGTCAGGAAGATGAGGCAGATGCACTGTAAAGACACTTCCCAGCTTCATACATTTCCAGTCTTTCTCAATTCCGAGTGGATTCTGCAGAGAAAGTTGGTGCCAGGCCTGCCAGGCCCCACCATTGGCAGAAGGCTGGCTATGGTACAGAAGGGCAGCTAGCTGACTTGCTCATAATCTAGACAGGTACATGCCAGCATCTTGGGGATCTGCTCAGCATTCAGCTGTTCTGAGTGTGTATATATCTGTGTATTTTTAAAACTAGCAGGTTTTAATTCCCTTTAGGCTCCAGCCAGCCAAACTCACCTCCCACAGGAGCCATTCCAAGCACAGTAGCCAAGGCTAATATGCATATAATCACTGAATGAAAAACCTGCCAGTAGACCCCCTAGTTAAACAGTCCATACAACAGAGGCTTGGGATTTGCCAGCGTGGCCAGTGTTTGCAGGCAGTTCCTGTAAATGTGGTGAGCCCTTTCTCTATTAACACACCCAACATGCTCTGCAGCCACAGTGGAGGGGAAGAAACAATGAGGTGGGGGGTGATGTGAAACAGGATCAGAGCTGGCGTCTACCTCTGTTAGTATTTCTCTGAGACTTCCTGAGCAAGTTTCCTTCCTGGCTTTTCTATGGACAGGATCAGGGATACACAGGCTGAAGAAAGAAACAGTTAGCTCTTGGCATTCCTGGCATGGACGAATCTCTCATCGAGATGTTCTCTGCTAGTGCACTGTGCATTGCCTCTGTGACCAGCTCTTCCTGTTCCTCACTCATCCCTCACATTAAGAACTCCCTCTCTTTCTCACTTTCTGCTCTTTGGCTCCTGTTTGTTTCAGCCCAGCTGCTTACCATGCAGCATTCCCCATTCCCACTGCCTTTCAGCATTTTCGCCCATCCCTGGCTGTAGAGATGCAGCTGGGTTTGTTTTGTCACCTCATCTTCTGCCTTTGCCAGAGGGGTGGAGAAGTGTCTCCTGCTGCTCCCATGTTTTAATCCTACCTGACAAACCAGCAGAGGAGCTGCTACACTGTAACATTAAGCTGTTTGTGCACTGACACTGCTGCTGTTGTCCAGCAGAACTGAATGAGGAAATTGTTAATGTCCCAAGGGATTTGGCAACAGACACTGGAATGTGCTTAAGGAAGTTACCTGCAAGGTGACAAATCAAGACCGATTTATACAGGAGCAACAATGCATCTCCAAGCCCAACCACAGACACTGGAACTCAGCAGATGGCCCACAGGTCACGGATATCCCAATGCATGCCCAAAAGGTCAAACTCTGCCATCTGTCACACTCGCACCTGACAGAAGATACCAGTTAAAATCAGCACCTGGAATGACAGAGCACAAGGAGATCTGGGGGAGGATGACCACAGAGCCTGCTTGGGAGTGCACTACGCTTTAGGTACTACCTGGACACATAAGCCCACTCTAAGAGTACTCGGAGTATGTCCCATTTCTTCTCCCAAACCAGTGGCCTGATATTCAGGACCACCTGGAGGCAGGCCTAGTATTTCACAACCCCACCACACTACAGGGGGAAGCAGAGCACTAGCAGCAGTTAAGACTAAGGGAAAAGAGCTTTTTCTTTGTGGATTTGAAGATGAAATACACTTCAATTACAGCCACTAGCAATGGCTTCATATTGCTCAATAATCCTCTGCAGCCTCCAAAAGCAGCTGGTATTTATCACTCCTGTACTACTACGTGGGAGAGGAGGGCCCGGAACAAATCACCACTTCGGTTCCAAGAAACAATTATCCTGATCTACCTGCATGAGAAGCTTGGCCTGGCACGCTCCCTTGCTCCTCTGTATGAGATGCTGCAGGACAGGTTTATTCAAAACCGAGGTCCAGGAAAGGAGAAGCAGTTATTCTGTCCAGACTCTGTTGTTGGTGGCAGAAGGAGGTTAGTCCAAGTGACTCCACCTCCAGTTTAATCTCATGGCATGGGATAGGGCTTTGCAGTGGTGGGGAGAAGCATATCCACCCTGCTATAAGCACCTAACACATTAACCAGTTGCAGGTATCAAAGAGAACCTTTCTTTCAGACTTTCAAAGAAGACTCCCACAACAGCAGCAAAAGACAAGTCAGATCCCTTCCAACCTGCTAAGTTTCTGAAAATGGAAATGGCCTCATGCCTCTTCATCAAAACAGGCTGATC